CGACATTATTTTAGTCGAGAAGGGCATGCCCGAAAACCGGTATCCCAAATTTTCAAAATTCAAATCGAAGTAGTCCCTGAAACAATTCTAATGGGCCGTCACGGTGAGACCCCTGTATTAATAAACCTGGTTACAGAAGCGCATGTTAACTTGTTGATGTTTACATTTTGCTTCAATTCAAATATTTATAGTCAGTCTCTAAAATGACCTAATTTTTGTCTGTTCTCCAGTCGTGCATCAACTGATGCTTCTTCAAAAACTTCTTCGCATTGGTGAAGGCTTTCTGTACTTCAACACGTGGTATTTTATACCACTCCTGTATTAGGGTTCGTAATCGCAGTCATCACACTAGTACATTTAGAACTTGCGCAGCATATTCGTTTCAGTTGATGTTGCTGCAGAGAATGCTTGTATTTACTTTCGAAGGGGCAGTTGTTACACTTGTATGTCTGGACCTGAGAAAGATTTTTATGCTTCAGTTGGTGCTGTTTGATATATCTCCTGTATCCAGTTTCATAATCGCAATCGTGACACCTGTACATTTGAACTTGTGAAAGATCTATATGTTTCAGTTGGTGCTTTGTGAAATATCTCTTGGATACAGTTTTGTAATTACAGTCATTACACCTGTACGTTTGAACCTGCGAAATATCTTTATGTTTCAGTTGATGCTCTTTGAAACGACTCGTGTATTTAGTTTCATAATCGCAATCGTGACACCTGTACATCCGAACCTCTGAAGGATCTTTATGTTTCAGTTGATGCTTTTTTAAATAACTCTTGAATTTAGTTTCATAATAGCAATCGTGACACCTGTACATTTGAACCTGTGAAGGATCTTTATGCTTCAGTTGGTGCCGTTTGATATAACTCTGGTGTTTAGTTTTGTAATCGCAGTCGCCACACCTGTACAATTGAACCTGCGAAGGGTCTTTATGTTTTAGTTGGTGCTGTTTGAAACATCTCTTGTATATAGTTTCATAATCGCAATCGTTACACCTGTACATTTGAACCTGTGAAGGGTCTTTATGTTTCAATTGATGCTGTTTGAAATGACTGTTGTATTTAGTTTCGAAATTGCAGTCGTTACACCTGTACATCTGAACCTGTGAAGGATCTTTATGTTTCAGTTGATGCTGTTTGAAATGACTGTGGTACCTTGCTTCATAATCGCAATCGTTACATCTGTACATTTGAATTTGCAAAGAATCTTTATGGTCCAAAGGGTGCTTCAGAAGTAATTTCTTATTTTCAGTTTCGTACTCACACGATTCACATTCATATGCTTCCAAATCCTTCTCATGTCTCGCACAGTGTGCCATAAAACGGATCTCATTTCCAGTTTTGTACATACATTTATCATATTTATACAATACTTTACGTTCCTGTCTGGTTTTCACTTCTGATCCATCCTCATGTTTACATCCATCCTCTTCTTCATTTTTACAGTCAATCTCCTCGAATGGTACAATATGGGAGGTCTGAAGTGGCGTGTCGCTGAAAAAAATGCATATACAGAGTAGTTTTCAAAATCAGGTATTAATTTTAAGAGGTTATGACCATAATTGAATCAACCATAGTACTGATAGCACAATTTTAACTTTAATGATGAATCGATTCAGATCTTTGATAATGTATTTAATTATCAGAGAAGGCATTGGCGAGATGATATGTAAACAGTCACACAATAAATCCATAAACAAATTTAGATACAGATAATTTAAATACAATCTACAATATAATAAATTTATTAAATTTTAATCAAATAATAACACCCAGAATATCACCTTTTTTTGTTTGTCAACGTTTTTTAGTTTCTGTTTTTTACCTTATCACAAATTTCAATATACTAGTCGCAAAAATTAAAGGACAAAAAGGAAATCCTAAATTTTTAGGTAATTTTCGAAAAGCTTGTATCATGGCGAAAAATGTTCATAAAGCAATAAAAAAAGCAAATTAGAGCTTAAAGGTTCTAGTTTCAGGATCTGAAAGTCAAACATTTTTATCCTTTATCACCTTTTTATAATTTTTGCCTCACTTTCAACAGGTCCACGGGTCTCAATTTTTTTTTGGCAGTTCCACATCTCTTTTAGTTTTATGCATCCTCTTTGAATTTGAACTGTTCAAGACCTTTATATGTACAATCAAATCAAAAATAACTGTTTTGGCTTTGATAATTAATTATTTGGGAAGTAGTGGTCATCCAGAAAATCTAAGCAGAGATTTGAAAAGTTTAGACTATCCCCCATAAGACTTTCTTATTGTTCTTTCAATGCAAGAAATTTGATTCCAAAATTTGCTTATTTGAGGATTTTTGTTAAAATTGAGAATGATATTGAAGAAGTTTTCGTTTTTTTTTTTTACCACAAAATAATACAAAAAACTTGTACGCTCCGTGTACAATGTATTTCCTTGTCGTGAGGATACGGCCGCATAACAGCTGAATCGTTCGTCGATTGTCTCACCTATGACACACTGGTGAGGACTAATAAGTCTGAAACTGGTCTGTGCCTGGTGGGTTAAACTGACGAACTGTTGCACTAGGTGTTGCGAGCATAATTCATTACCGATCAGGGCATATAGCACGCGGAGTAGTTGTTTCTCGCAACACTAACAATTAAAACCTGTAAAGAGTTCAAACGGGTGCGATTTTCTTTCATTGTCCAAAATCAATTAAAGGATAAATTTTGCATTTTTAAATAATTTTTTTTATATTGAAAATGTTTTTTCGCAAAAATATATATTCTCTTCATCAAAAATTGTCATGAAAAAAAAAAAGAAACAATTGAAAATTTTTTTTTCTGGAAAAAAATATATTTTTTTTATTTCCTTCCTCAAATCTCGGAAACTTACCGAGTTCTATAACTCACGAATCGTTTTTATGAGCTTTAATACCGAGAAAAACAGTATTTTTAAACTAACCCAAACATTTTTTGTAATCAAAAAAAAAAATTTTATTTTTTGACAATTTGACAAGCATTTTTTCAAAAGGTATTTTTATTGTTTGAATTAGATCGATACCTTCTCCCAAAATTCTTTCAAAACTAATTTTGGGTAAGAATGACTGAAGGCCAAACTGATTTTCTTCTTGCAATCTGCTTACATAACCCCCAATTATTTTGTAACTCCCTAAAAGATCTATCCTTTTCATTCAAGAAAATTTCAATTTCTGCCCAGTTAAAAAATTGATTGAATGAATGGAATTTAGTGTAGCATGTACGATATTGTTCATAACCGACATAATCTCATAATGTTAAGTACAATTAGTTTATTACCGGATAGTATCTACATGTGATGATATAAATCAGTGTCACAACCGCAGGTCGCCATTTTTTAAATTAATGTTAAAATATTCCCCTTTTACCTTCTTTCCTCATCTTCTGACTTTATATCGACAGATTCAGCTTTGATCGACATTTCCGTCTCGTTAATATCGAATTTCTTTTCCAGGTTTTCAGTCTTAACGAATAAACCAAGTGGAGATGTATCTATTTGACTTTCTGTGGCTGAACTATCAAAATTACTTTTAATTTTTTCTTTTACCTCTGAGCAATCTTTTATGAAACTGTTGTGAGTACACAGCGAATCGAAGCATGGCTTACAAACAACGGGATCTTTGATGATATTTATATTCTACGAAGCAGTTTAGTTAGATTTTAAAATATGCAAGTAATCAATATTGTTCATACCATTTCAGGTGTCAATTTCTGAATAGCTTCAAGTTCCTCTTCACGTATGCACCTAAACTCACTTTCTACTGGGTGCATACACAATCGACATATTTTCTGACTGCAAACTAATTCACTTTTCTTTTCCTGCATGTACACTTCTCTTAGGTCGAGCTGTAACATTTTTTTGCTATCCACATAAGGAATAATTGTGTTATCAGCATTCAAACACGTCGACTTAAATTCTAACGTCGCATTTAACTTTCTTCTGCAAACATTGCATATAACCTCTGTGCTCTCATCATCAAATTTCTAAAAAATATGCAACTTCAGACAGGAAGAAAATAACTGTGGCAGAAAATAACAATTAAATACTAAAAGTTAATTTACACTCGACTGTTAAGGTGTAATCTAATTATAATTCACGTTTACCAATTTCAGCAAAAGACCATCTAGAATGTCTCTGATAATGTTGTTTATCACTTCAAAACTTTCATCGGATATATTTTTAAGGCAAAGCCTACATGACAATTCCTTAACATTAGTCATTACTCTGCAACAATCTTCTTTTAAATATAAACAGAAAACAGAACACAGAGATAAAAATACAAAGCACAAAGCCGTCAGTCACTTCTAACCTTCTTGGCTTCTTATCTGTCAAATGTCAATGGACAGCATTGGCACTATTGGGTTGGCAGTATTGGTAATGGCAGAGCATCTAGTTGTTTATGGTTAGCAATAGAGATGGGCGAAATATGACGATCCGGCTCGCCGTACTGACACGAGAGACCGGAGTGACCCAGTTTCTTCACAGAGTCACTCCACACGTCGGCCGTTCCATGGCCCGTACTATGGTACGGGCCATGGCACAGGTTGTATGAATACGCCACGAGTAGATAAATTCCATGGTCCGTAAAGAGACGGTCGCCGCATAAAGGAGGCTTCAGCTTTTCGCGGGAGATGGGTTTTTTGTAATTTGTCTCTGGTTCTTCTTGGTCCTGGCTGTTCCTGAAACATACAAGGTTAACACGGAGGGGAGGATTTTTGTGTGTGTGTGTACGTACGCACTACCCTACCCAATCATACCACACATAAATATGGCACCACCGAAGCAAGAAGAGCGCCAGAAGAAAGGGCCCTAGCCGGCGGGACCCAGCCAGGACAAAAGGAGGGCCCACAAAGCGCCTACACCGGCCGCATTTGCGGTCGGGGTAGACGACGGATGGGGCCCACCTACGAAGGCTGTCCAGGCCTACACGAGATGAGGCAGGATAAAGAGGGATAATCCCCCTCGATCCCAAATCATTGAGGCCAATTTCTAGCCATAGAATAATGGCGCGGCGCGGTCTCTCGTGTCAGTACGGAGAGCCAGATCTTCATGTTTCGCCCATCTCTATTCCTAACCATAACACAACCGTCAACCAGATGAGGCTGTCATATAAAAAGCCCAAGAAGGTTAGAAGTGACGGCATTTTGTCTTTGTGTTGTGTTTACATTTAAAAGAAGATTGTTGCAGAGCAGTGACTGATGTTAAGGAAACGTTGTGTAGACTTTGACATAAAAATATAACCGACGAAAGCTTTGAAGTGGTAGACAACATTATCAGAGATATTCTTGATGTTCTTTTGCTGAAATTGGTAAGTCAGTGAAATATAAATATATTGCTGTCTGAAGTTGCATATTTTTCAGAAATTTGATGACGAGAGCAGAGAGGTTATATGTAACGCTTGCAGAAGAAAGTTAAATGCAGCATTAGAATTTAAGTCAACGTGTTTGAATACTGGTAACACGATTATTCGATATGTGGATAGCGAAAAAATGTTACAGCTCGACTTAAGAGAAGTGTACAACCAGGAAAAGAAAAGTGAATTAGTTTGCAGTCAAAAAATATGTCGATTGTGTATGCACCCAGTAGAGAGTGCGTTTAGGTGCATACGTGAAGAGGAACTCGAAGCTATTGAGAAATTGACACCTGAAATGGTATGAATGATATCAAATACTTGCATATTTTATAACTTAACGAAACTGCTTTGTAGAATATAAATATCGTCAAAGATCCCGTTGTTTGTAAGCCATGCTTGGATTCTCTGTGTACTCACAACAGTTTCCTAAAAGATTTCTCAGAGGGAGAAGAAAAAATTAAAAGTATTTTTGATAGTTCAGCCGCAGGGAGTCAAATAGATACGTCTCCACTTGGTTTATTCGTTAAGACTGAAAACTTGGACAAGGAATTCGATTGTAACGAGATGGAAATGTCGATCAAAGCTGAATGTGTCGACATAAAATCGGAAGATGAGGAAAGGAGGTAAGAGAAGACTATTTTAACATTAATTGTCTGTTATAAACGATAATCATTAAGCGTTAGGTTAACAAATTATTGAGAAAATATGTAAGACCATTATAAAACAATCAGTAGGGCTTTGAATCAAATATGGGTACAAAGAATACTATCCTAAATTCCATACATTCCATAACTTTTAACTTTGGTCAGAAATTGAAATTTTCTTGAATGAAAAGGATGGATCTTTTACCGAGTTGCAAAATAGTTAGTGGTTATGTAAGCAGATTGCAAGAAGAAAATCAGTGGCCTTCAGTCATTCTTACCCAAAATTGGTTTTGAAAGAATTTTGGGAGAAGGTATTGAGCTGATTCAAATAATAAAAATATCTTTTGAAAAAATGCTTGTCAAATCGTCAAAAAAGTATTTATTTATTTTTTTGATATACAGAAAAATCTTTGTTAGTTTAAAAAAAATACTGTTTTTCTCGGTATTAAAGCTCATGAAAACGATTTGTGAGCTATAGAACTCGGTAAGTATCCAAGATTTGATTCCAAAAAAAAAATATTTATTTTGAATATTTTCTTTTCTTTTAATGACAATTATTGATGAAGAAAATAAAGATTTTTACGAAAAAACATTTTCAATTGATAAAAAATGATTTAAAAAAGCAAAATTTATCCTTTAATTGATTGTTCACAACTAAAGAAAAATTGCAGCCGCTTGAACTCTTGACAGGTTTTTTTGGTTATTTTGAGGTGAAACAAAAACGAAAACATCTTCAATATTAGTCTCAGGTTTAACCAAAATCGTCAAATAAATAAATTTTGGAATCGAGTATCTTGCATCGAAAAAAATAAATTTATCAAAAAACGATAAGAACATCTTATGGAGGATAGTAGAACTTTTCAAATCTGCTTAGATTTTCTGTACTGCCATTAATTCCCAAATAATTAATTATCAAAGCCGAAACAGTTGACTATACATATAAAGGTCTCGAACAGCTCAAATCAAAGAGGATGGATTAAACTAAAAGAGATGACAGGTGGGACTGCCAAAAAAAATATTGAGACTCTTGGACCTGTTGAAAGTGAAGCGAAAATTATAAAAAAAAAATGGACCTCGCACCGTTCATTTTAGTTTTTGGTTGCAAAATTCATTTCCGTCTTGCCGAATGGTGTACTCGGAGTTTTTCGATGGCGCTGATCGCGAATATGAAGCCAGAATTGAAAATATTCAAATCCAATATGGGCGACCAATTTTTGATAAACATTTTTAATACTCTAATACACTTTGAGAATGCTTCAACCTACGTTAAAACTCAAGGTCGAGCCGAGTATTCGACATATTGGATCCGCCGTATCGGATTTAACTATTACTAAATTCAGAGCTAGTCTGAGTTCAGAAACATTTGAATAAAAAATGCATGCCGTGAAGGGTTAATAGGTATTCTGAATAATTATGGCGAGCGCCACATATCAAAAAGAAAAATATGAACAAGATTAAAGTTTTGCCTGCAAAATACTAGAAAGACCTTCAAATGACTTTTGAAACTGAAGGTCATGATCAAGGTTATATCCGGAAGCAAAATTAGATGTCCCCCTCAAAACCCTACAACATTTATTTGGAAACATTTTTTGAAGACAGTTTTGACTCATCTTGGATTCCTTCCAGGCGGTGCCTCTCGTCCGGGCCCGGATTGTAATTGGTTACACCTCGAATGATTACCTTTTTCTCAAGTTTAATGTCTGCTATCACCATGTTCAAGAATTGGGGGGGGGAGATTTTTAGTCTCCCTGCCTTCGCTTAATAATTGCGCGAAATTCAAACAAATTGAATGAATCTAACTCGAATATACTGGGTGTTATTATTTGATTAAAATTAATTATTAAATTTATAAATAATGTTATTGTAGATTGTATTTCAATTATCTGTATTTGACTTTTCTGATAATTAAATACATTACCAAAGATCTGAATCCATTAATCATTGAAGTTAAAATTATGCCATCAGTACTACGGTTGATTCAATTATTGTCATAACCCCTTAAGAGTAATACCTGATTTTCAAAAAAACCCTGTATATACAATTTTTTCAGCGACACGCCACTTCAGACCTCCGATATTGTACCATTCGAGGAGAGTGACTGTAAAAATGAAGAAGAGGATGGATGTAAATATGAGAATGGATCAGAAGTGGAAACCAGACAGGAGCGCAAAGTATTGTACAAATGTGATAAATGTATCTTCGAAACTGGAAGTGAGATCCGTTTTACGGCACACTGTGCGAGACATGAGAACGATTTGAGAGCATATGAATGTGAATCATGTGAGTACAAAACTAAAAATAAGAAATTACTTCAGAAGCATCTGTTGCAACTTAAAGACCCTTCACAGGTTCAAATGTACAGGTGTAACGACTGCGATTACAAAACTATATACAACAGTCATTTCAAACAGCATCAACTGAAACATAAAGATNATTCTGGAAAAATATATTTTTTTTATTTCCTTCCTCAAATCTCGGATACTTACCGAGTTCTATAGCTCACGAATCGTTTTTATGAGCTTTAATACCGAGAAAAACAGTATTTTTAAACTAACCCAAAAATTTTTTGTAATCAAAAAAAAAAATTATATTTTTTGACAATTTGACAAGCATTTTTTCAAAAGGTATTTTTATTATTTGAATTAGATCGATACCTTCTCCCAAAATTCTTTCAAAACTAATTTTGGGCAAGAATGACTGAAGGCCACTGATTTTCTTCTTGCAATCTGCTTACATAACCCCCAATTAATTTGTAACTCCCTAAAAGATCTATCCTTTTCATTCAAGAAAATTTCAATTTCTGCCCAAAGTTAAAAAATTGATTGAATGAATGGAATTTAGTGTAGCATTCTTTGTACCCATATCTGATTCGAAGCCATACGATTGTTTTATAATGATCTTACATATTTTTCCAATAATTTGTTAACCTGACGCTTAACGATTATATAAAAATTTGTACGATATCGTTCATAACCGACATAATCTCATAATGTTAAGTACAATTAGTTTATTACCGGATAGTATCTACATGTGATGATATAAATCAGTGTCACAACCGCAGGTCGCCATTTTTTAAATTAATGTTAAAATATTCCCCTTTTACCTTCTTTCCTCATCTTCTGACTTTATATCGACAGATTCAGCTTTGATCGACATTTCCGTCTCGTTAATATCGAATTTCTTTTCCAGGTTTTCAGTCTTAACGAATAAACCAAGTGGAGATGTATCTATTTGACTTTCTGTGGCTGAACTATCAAAATTACTTTTAATTTTTTCTTTTACCTCTGAGCAATCTTTTATGAAACTGTTGTGAGTACACAGCGAATCGAAGCATGGCTTACAAACAACGGGATCTTTGATGATATTTATATTCTACGAAGCAGTTTAGTTAGATTTTAAAATATGCAAGTAATCAATATTGTTCATACCATTTCAGGTGTCAATTTCTGAATAGCTTCAAGTTCCTCTTCACGTATGCACCTAAACTCACTTTCTACTGGGTGCATACACAATCGACATATTTTCTGACTGCAAACTAATTCACTTTTCTTTTCCTGCATGTACACTTCTCTTAGGTCGAGCTGTAATATTTTTTTGCTATCCACATAAGGAATAATTGTGTTATCAGCATTCAAACACGTCGACTTAAATTCTAACGTCGCATTTAACTTTCTTCTGCAAACATTGCATATAACCTCTGTGCTCTCATCATCAAATTTCTAAAAAATATGCAACTTCAGACAGGAAGAAAATAACTGTGGCAGAAAATAACAATTAAATACTAAAAGTTAATTTACACTCGACTGTTAAGGTGTAATCTAATTATAATTCACGTTTACCAATTTCAGCAAAAGACCATCTAGAATGTCTCTGATAATGTTGTTTATCACTTCAAAACTTTCATCGGTTATATTTTTAAGGCAAAGCCTACATGACAATTCCTTAACATTAGTCATTACTCTGCAACAATCTTCTTTTAAATATAAACAGAAAACAGAACACAGAGATAAAAATACAAAGCACAAAGCCGTCAGTCACTTCTAACCTTCTTGGCTTCTTATCTGTCAAATGTCAATGGACAGCATTGGCACTATTGGGTTGGCAGTATTGGTAATGGCAGAGCATCTAGTTGTTTATGGTTAGCAATAGAGATGGGCGAAATATGACGATCCGGCTCGCCGTACTGACACGAGAGACCGGAGTGACCCAGTTTCTTCACAGAGTCACTCCACACGTCGGCCGTTCCATGGCCCGTACTATGGTACGGGCCATGGCACAGGTTGTATGAATACGCCACGAGTAGATAAATTCCATGGTCCGTAAAGAGACGGTCGCCGCATAAAGGAGGCTTCAGCTTTTCGCGGGAGATGGGTTTTTTGTAATTTGTCTCTGGTTCTTCTTGGTCCTGGCTGTTCCTGAAACATACAAGGTTAACACGGAGGGGAGGATTTTTGTGTGTGTGTGTACGTACGCACTACCCTACCCAATCATACCACACATAAATATGGCACCACCGAAGCAAGAAGAGCGCCAGAAGAAAGGGCCCTAGCCGGCGGGACCCAGCCAGGACAAAAGGAGGGCCCACAAAGCGCCTACACCGGCCGCATTTGCGGTCGGGGTAGACGACGGATGGGGCCCACCTACAAAGGCTGTCCAGGCCTGCACGAGATGAGGCAGGATAAATAGGGATAATTCCCCTCGATCCCAAATCATTGAGGCCAATTTCTAGCCATAGAATAATGGCGCGCGGTATAGTGTATGATTTAATAAATAAATAAATGTATCTTTTGAGTTTTATTTCATAATCTGTTAAAACCTGCACTAATTCTTCTATTAATTTATCTTGTGTTGATATTTAATAAAAATGNGAATAATATTAAACTGCATCAAAAGATACATAAAGATCCCTCACAGGTTCAAATGTACAGGTGTAACAATTGCGATTTTGAAACTAAATACAAGAATAATATTAAATTGCATCAAAGGAAACATAAAGATCCCTCACAGGTTCAAATGTACAGGTGTAACGGCTGCGATTTCGAAACTAAATACAGGAGGTATCTTGAAAAGCATCAACTAAAACATAAAGAGCCTTTGCAGGTTCAAATGTACAGATGTAACGACTGCGATTACAAAACTAAATATAAGAATAATATCAAACAGCACCAGGTAAAACATAAAGATCCTTCTCTGGTTCAAATACACAGGTGTCACGATTGCGATTATGAAACTAAATACAAGAGTTATTTCACACAGCATCAACTGAAACATAAAGATCCTTCACAGGTGCAAATGTACAGGTGTCACGATTGTGATTATGAAACTAAATACAAGAGTTATTTAACACAGCATCAACTGAAACATAAAGATCCTTCACAGGTTCAAATGTACAGGTGTAACGACTGCGATTTCGAAACAAAATACAGGAAATATCTTGAAAAGCATCGACTGAAACATAAAGATCCTTCACAGGTTCAAATGTACAGGTGTCACGATTGCGATTATGAAACTAAATTCAAGAGGTATTTCAAACAGCACCAACTAAAACATAAAGACCCTTCGCAGGTTCAAATGTACAGATGTAAGGACTGTGATTTCGAAACTAAATACAGGAGTGGTATAAAATATCACGTGTTGAAGCATAGAAAGCCTTCGTGAGTGCAAAGAAGTTTTTGAGGAGACATCAGTTGATGCACAAAAAATGTTTGCGGGTATAAAGTGCCGCCCATTGAAGTGCAGTCAAAAATTGGGGCATTTTAGAGACTGACTATAAATATTTGAACTGAAGCAAAATGTAAAGCCTATCTTGAAAAACATCAACAAGTTTACATGCGCTTCTGTAACCAGGTGTATTAATATAGATACATTTCAATATGCACCTGTTCTGTCCATATTTAAGAATATATCATATTTTATTACCAAGAGTGTTACAAATTCGCTTCTCACTAGGGATCTTGGAAACGGTAACAGATACGAACTAGCTTAAATGGGGTCAAAGTTGTGTAATCAGGGGACCAATATTATGCCTCTAAAAAGTCAAGGCTAACATGATTAGTTTTAAAAATATTTGAAAAAAAAAACGAAATTATTGAAAGGACCCCACACAAAATATATGGAAAATGGTCTTTCGGAAAATCTTGCTGAAATTTTGCAGAGAGGTAGGTTTCAGCTTGCTGAACAAAAGTTTCAATTACACCAAGATTAAAAAAACCTCACCCAAGGCCACCGTGCGGCTTGAAATATACGAAAAAAAGTATTTCATTCAGTCTTGCTAAACACAGGTCAACATTTGATCCACAATGAAACACCCAAAGCGGTCTGGTCCTTAGGGTTTTTGGGGTCGCTGATTACGAACATGAAGTTAGACTTTCATAGTTACCAAATCCAAGATGGCGGATCCAATATGGCCGACGGTCAGTCATGCACCCTTCTACTCGATGTTTTTGTCTGAATTTTTTTACTCGGGCGTTTTCAGGGTCGCTGATCGCGAATATGAAGTTAGATTTTCATAGTTTCCAAATCCAAGGTGGCGGATCCAATATGGCCGACGGTCACCTTTGGTGACTTCGGAAACATATTTGTGAATTTTTCTAGATTTTTTCGACGATCAGTTCTCTACTTGACCTTCAAAATGACCTTGGCATGACCTTAAATGACCCCTGGGAGTCGCTGCTGGGTACAACAAACTACGGTTTCGTGATTAGGGACCTCGGAAACATACGTATGAATTTTTCCAGATTTTTTTGACGGTTATTTCTCTACTTGAAGTTGACATCAGTTTCAAGGTCATTTCAAGCGACCCCACCTACCTCTGCACAATTTCAGCACGATTTACCGAAAGACCATTTTCCATGTATTTTGTGCGGGGTCCTTTGATTTTGTTTCATTTCAGCCTCGTTTGAGGTGATACTGAAAAAAGTAGAACACTTTCTCATGGCAACTTTTTGCCCACTATTGAATGCCGTAATCAGTTTTTATATGTGGCGTTTTGTCTCGCCAGGACCATCATCAACTTCATTTTTTAAATACGGCTGAGTTTTATTAAATTTTTTGCAACCCTTCATGATCCCCAATACTGTACTGCCTCAGCCCGAACCAGATTCAGACGTTTTGTCTCGAAAAATTCAACTTCAATGTATTTGTTCCAAATTTATCTAAATTTTTTATTTAGCTTTTTATGTTCGTTGAATTATCGTACACTCTAAGTGTCGTTAGACCCTGTGAAATCCATGTAGTTATTTAAACTATTATCACCACGCGTTACAATAAATCATTTTTAGAGTTTTAATCCCGTGCCCATAGTTATTTCTAGGCTTCTCGAGTGTTCAAAACTAAAACAAATTCCGATCTAATTTTTTTCAGGATATTCATACAAATACATCCGACATGCTCTTTCACAGTTGCGGGAAAAGTATAATAAATTCCGATCATATTACGCTTGTCTTCATTTTCAACATTTGCCAAAACGGAAACGTTTTTTAATTTTTTTAAGTATAATAATCATTTTGCGTTTTAGTTGTTCATGTGCGTTTTTAAAAAATAATTGTTCATGATAAAATTAAAATTCTAATGTTTTAATTTTGACGCAACAACTTATCGAGTTATGTATGACCAGGTGATGGTAATAATAATTTAAATAACTAGGTGGATCTCACAGGATCTAACGACGCTTAGCGTATACGATAATTTAATGAACATAAAAATCTAAATAGAAATTTCGAACAAATAAATTGAAGATAAATTTTTCAATACAAAACGTCTGGATCGGGTTCGGGCTGAAGGAGTACAGTATTGGGAGTCATGAAGCCTTGCAAAAAATGTAATACAATATCCAGGTCCGACGAAACGTTACGTATAAAAATTGATTATGCCATTTGATAGAGGGCAAAGTGAGAAAGTGTCCTTTTTTTTAATATCACCTCAAACGAGACAGAAATGAAACAAATTCAGAAAAAATTTCGGTTTTATTCAAATATTGCAAAAACTATCATGTTAGCCTCGATTTTTTAAGGGCATAATATTAGTCCCCTGATTACGCAACTTTGCCCCATTTAAGCTGGTTCGTATCTCTTACCGTTTCCGAGATCCCTGTAGTGGGAAGCGAATTTGTGACAGCCTATATAGGTAATAGCTTTTTTGCAACAGTATTATGAATAAAAGAACTAAAGCAAAATAGATGTGCATTATTTTTTTATAGAGGAAACTGTACAGTACTGCTGTAGTATTCACACGTGGNGGTAATAGCTTTTTTGCAACAGTATTATGAATAAAAGAACTAAAGCAAAATAGATGTGCATTATTTTTTTATAGAGGAAACTGTACAGTACTGCTGTAGTATTCACACGTGGAGAACTAAACTCATACAAGACGATTCAGTCATAATGTCATTAATTTTAAGGAAAGACGGGGAAAAAAAGAGTAGAATAATTTAAAATCATTAGCAAACATATAACCATGCATCGGGAATTTACGTGATAATTCACGAAAATTCCACGGTACATATATTTTTAGGCTTTATAAAATATTTAGAAAATCAGAAATTGTATAACTACTTATTTATTAAATAAAGTTCAGTTAAAAATAGTGTTTTTTTAATTGGAAATTAGGAGTTAGGCCGGTGTCCCATGCATCCAAGTTCTGACGATACGAAGTTCGAAAGTGTTCATATTGGTTAATATACATTCAAACTTTTACCGCTCATTTTCATCCGAAATTTTTAAAATTCATACGACGTCTGAACAAGTACAAGAAATCATTTTAACTTTTAAGCGAAAACGTATGTATTTAACCTCACTTTTTAAGTTTTTAACACACTATGATTGTTGTTTAGTATATTTACAGTTAAATAAATGTTATAATGTCGAATGTATAAAATATAATACTACGTATATTTTCTATGATGTAAACCTATGGTTGTCATTTGGAAATGTTTCACCTTCATCTTGTAATAAATTCCATGGTTCTATACTTGATTTCTATCGCCTATCTATATTTTTTTATTTGTGTGACTGATTAATGGAAATAAGGTCTGCTTATTTATACTCTTGCGCCAGTTCCCAGTCGTAACAAGACTTTTAAAATTGAATTCGTGAGTTTATTGAAAATTATTACCCATTTGATATAAAATATTAATTTATTATAAAACAAGATGGAAAGCCACACAAATAATAAAGTTGACCTATTTATAATTGAAAATATAATTAAACAGACCTTATTTCCTTTATTCGGTCACATCAATAATAAAATAAAGATAGGCGTATTCACACGACCCGTGCCAGAACTCCGGTCTGTCGTGTCAGTACCAGAGATATAGAGTGGGGAGAAGGCTCATTGACTTCTGCGCATCCTATTTTCGAGGGACACTACCAAGGATTTTATAAAATCCTTGGGACACTACCAGTGCCGCCATTTTGAACATGAACTGTCATTGTCTATGAACATTAGAGATGGGTAACGCAGCAAAATTTCCTGCGTTGATACACTAACTCAAGCGCACACTAGTGCGTTAACCCACTGCGATAACTCAATTGCGTTATAACGCAATATCGGTTCAACTGGCGGATGACGCACCTATCGCAAAGCGCAGCGGTGTCATCGTATCACCACTACACCACCCGACGCGTGACTCGNACCATTAGAAAAGGGTTATCCCCAGACTCACAGAACAAACTCAAACCCGAATGGTTTTAAACTTCAAATGTATAAAAATTATAAATAACGGTTTTTGTTACTAGATGTCAGGCTATTTTGGGCTACTTTCAATTTTGGTTTGGCTACTAGGTTAAAAAGAAATCTGGCAACCCTGGTGCCAATTGCCAATGCTGTCCGAAGAAGTCAAGCAAGAGAGGGTTAGAAGTGACGGCGTGTTGTGTTTTGTATTTGTTTATGTTTAAAAGAAGATTGTTGCAGAACAATGACTGATGTTACGGAAACTTCGTGTAGGCTTTGCCTTAAAAATATAACCGATGAAAATTTTGAAATGATAAACAACATTATCAGAGACGGTCTAAATGTTCTTTTGCTAAAATTGGTAAGTAGGTGAAATATAATTAGATTACTTCCTAACAGTCTCAACTTTCCATTGTAATTTTTCGCTACAGTTATTTTCCTCCTGTTTAAAGTTACGTATTTTTCAGAAACTTGATGATGAGAGCAAAGAGGTTATATGTAATGCTTGCAGAAGAAAGTTAAATGCAGCATTAGAATTTAAGTCCACGTGTTTCAATACTGATAACACAATTATTCGATATGTGGATAGCGAAAAATTGTTACAGCTCGACTTAAGAGAAGTGTACATGCAGGAAAAGAAGAGTGAGTTAGTTTGCAGTGAGAAAATATGTCGATTGTGTATGCATCCAGTAGAGAGAGAGTTTAGGTGCGTACGTGAAGAGGAACTCGAAGCTATTCAGAAATTGACACCTGAAATGGTATGAACGATATTAAATACTTGCACATTTTATAATTTAACGAAATTGCTTTGTAGAATATAAATATCATCAAAGATCCCGTTGTTTGTAATCCTTGCTTCCATTCTGTGTGTACTCACAACAGTTTCCTAAAAGAGTGCTCAGAGGTAGAAGAAAAAATTAAAAGTATTTTTGATAGTTCAGCCACAGAAAGTCAGATAGATACGTCTCCACTCGATTTATTCGTTAAGACTGAAAACCTGGAAGAGGAATTTGATATTAACGAGATGGAAATGTCGATCAAACCTGAATATGTGGACATAAAATCGGAATATGAGGAAAGAAGGTAAGAGGAGACCATTTTAACATTAATTTAAAAAATAGCAGCCCGTAGTTTGGACATTTCGTGATTTATATGATTAAATACGTACCATCTGGTGATAAATTAATTGTACTTAGCATTATGAGATTATGAGGGTTATGAACGATATTGTACAAATTTTTAAACTATTTGTTAATAAATGTGTTGTGTGTATTATTGAAATTACAAAAAAGTTTTTAATACAAATGTTTTAGCTTTTTTTATGAATTTTTATAATACAGTATTAAAAAAAAACAATTGAATAATGGAAATTACTAAATTAAAGAAAAACATTTTTTTTTAATGGAACACCCTATATATTAGTGCAAAAAAAAAGTGCCGCTGGCAAAAATTTTCGAATTTTCAAGGCCAAATAGCTTTAAATGAATCTGGAAATTTTTAGTTGCATTTGCAATATTACCGAAGAACTCACATTCGTGAGATGGTTTTTCGATCAGATTTTATAAAAATATAGCAATATTAGTTCGGCTTGTGGACTCATTTTAGATGGAAAAACCGCGGAATGCTATTAAATTGGAGGGTGGAAATTGGAGATAGGAGTGAACATGCACCCCTTTCGTTTTTTAATTGTAGCTTGAAAACGAAGCAAAATTTCGTTATACATAGTTCATAGAAAAATTATTAGAGAATTGAATTTCCCATCGAAATAGCTTATTTAAAAAAATTAAAAGGAAAATTTTATGCAAAAAAATTGTTAATAAACAATTTGAAGAAAGCAAAAAATTCGATTTTATAATTTTTTAAAATTTTTTGTCTAGTTTTTTTTTGAGTAAAGATCGGTATAGGCATTGCTTCATAGAAAAAAAAAGTAGATAAAATTTCCTTCACAACAAGAGGTTGTAAAATATTTTTGGATGAAAATTAACTAAAAATTGAAGAATGGAGTGAAAAATGTACTTTTGCAGTTTTTTAAAATAGCACGAAAACAAAGCAAAATTTCGGTATAGTTTTGACTTTTACTCTATATGTATAGCTACTTCCCACCTCGAAAATTGATATTTTCATTTTAAAATTTGTATTAGGACATTAATTGAGGTTATAAACAGATTTGTTTTAAAAAAATGTTGAGTAAAATAATAAATAATGGTAGGTACTCCTCTCTTCAGTAATTTCGTGTTTTTTTTTTAATTTATGAGCACCCTGTATATCCCATCTAAGATGTTTGTATGACAGTTCATTTTTTCGAGGCGCAGAAGTTTTTGTAAAGAGTGACATTTTTCGATAAAGTCAAAAACAAAAAACTTTATTGAACTTAAATTCTCAAGTTTTTACTAAATTNAAAAAAATTAGTATGATGTGAAGTTATACGTCTATTTTAATATTATTTATTGTAATTTAAAGAATAATTTTCTATTCGTATTTTTTTTTCGAAAATATGGAGTTAACACTATTTGGCACAAACATGATTTAGGGATTTTATATTATAATATTTACTAATTGTGCGATAATGCTGAGGATAATACTAATAAAAACTACCAGTTAATTTTTTTTTGTTGAAATAGTCCAAACAACAAAACAATAAATAAACTACATTCAATAAATATTTTTAAAAATATAAACATCAGATAATATTCATAAAAAAAACTAAAGTTTAAATAAACCAACAACACTTTTGATTTTTAATAAACTGGATAGAAAAAACAAAAAGAAATGTAATTATTATTCTTTAAACAGAAATGTCGCTTTTACATGTCATCAGTCACTTTTTCAATAACTAATAATTTACCAGTTATCACCAACACTGCAAAAAAACGTCTACACACGATGAATGTGGGTATAATACTAAAGTAAACCAACATGATCTTGATATGTGTGGCGTTAATACTCCGAAGTCAAACTATGTAATAGAATATTAACTCCACATACACTTATTTGGCTCGGACTAAATTGATGTAACGAGGAACTTAATACTGTGGAAATGAAACACGGTTAATATTAAATACACATACGTTTGTCTAGCTTGGAGACAGGTTGAGACTTATTATTATTTAGCACTGTCTATCTTCGAAAGTATCATGAGTAGGAGTTATTACTGTTTGGCACGTGAAAGAGCATAAGAAACTGTGTTGGGCTGTCAAATAATCCCCTAACCGCCACTGATAACAAACTGATTTAACAAAGAAATAATGTTTAGTGAGAACAAAAAATTTGAAGTTTGTTTATTTTATGATAATAATAAAAATCATTATTAAAATCTTATTATTATTTAAATAAATTCGTACTGCTTTGGTTCTACGCGGAGGCACTCCGTCTTGATGCCTTGATTGAGTACCTTCATAAATAGTGGGCCAATGATTTTATTTCTCAATATACCGCACCAAGCATTAAACAATGTGCATCCTTCACTTGGAATTTTCCTATTACAGTGAGGATTTTCATTTGCCCAGGTAATATTTTTTCTATTATAAATGACACTTGTTGTGAAAGTCGCTTCATCTGTCCATAAAATCTTTTCAAAATAGTGTAGCTCGCCGTTTTTCAAGCGTGGCATTTCTCTGCAGTACTCTAATCGCTGAACTTTTTTATTTTGGGTGAGGTTGTGGCCTTTCTACAATAATTTAATATTTGAATTTACCATGGTAAGCCTCGAATGAATATCTGCTTACCTTGAAAATATAGTAATATGGTTAGTTCTAATTCTTCATTTGCAATAATTCTTCGTTTCCGTCTTCCAAGAGATTTTGTTTCTCTAAAGCGTCGCTCAATGTCGTAAAATGCAGCTCGAGATGGAATTTTGGAAACCCGGGATACGAACGAGCTTACTCGGTGCGCGCTGCATTCACATTATTATTATTCTTGCAAAATAAACGGATAACTTCAAATTTTTCGTTCTCACTAAACATTATTTCTTTGTTAAAATAGTTTGTCATAGGAAATAAATTAATGATGATAAATAAACTTCTGTCAAAGTCATTTGTTTGTTCCGCGTGCCTCGTCCATAGCCACTGCGATCCGTCGAACATAAATTTCCCTCCAGTTTTATTCAAAAATAGTGTTAAACTGAAATATGTCGAAAAGTTCTTAATCAAACGGTAACATATCATATATTTTTGAAAAGAGAAAAATTTAACGAAGCTAAGTATGCACTAATATATAGCGTGTTCCATTTAAACATTTTTTTTTCTTTAATTTAGTAATTTCCATTATTCAATTGTTTTTTCTAGTAGTGTATTATAAAATTCACTAAAAAAACTAAAACTTTTTATCCCTATTCCAGAAGGTTCAAAGCATTATTTACGGGTTTTTTTAAATTAAAAAAATAGATTTTCTGATAATTATACTTACCCGATCTTCAAAAATACCGTGTATATGCAATTGTTTCAGCGACACACCACTGCTGAGTTCCGATATTGTACCATTCGAGGAGAGTGACTGTAAAGATGAAGTGGATAGACATAAATGTGAGAATGAATCAGCAACTGAATGTAACACGAAAGCCAAGTATCGCGTGAAACTCAGAGCACAATCGTACAAGTACAACTTTTGTGATTTCGAAACGAAGCGAAGGACCATATTTAATAATCATTATATAAAACTCAAAGACAAATGCGATGAGCACGATTATAAAAGCAAGTACAATGCTCTGACGTGCAAGGATGCTGCTCAACTACCTATTTATAAATGCAGCGTTTGCAACTACAAATCAAAGAAAAAGATCCTTCTTGTCAATCATCAGTTGATACATAAGGATCCCCTGCAATTCCGTATGTATAAGTGTAATGACTGCCCCTTCGAAACTAAATACAAGAGTACTATCAAATGGCATCGATTGAAACATAAAGATCCTTCACAGGTTCAAACGTACAAGTGTAATGACTGCAATTACGTAACTAAATACAAGGGTCACATCAAACAGCATCAATTGAAACATAAAGATCCTTCACAGGTTCAAATGTACAGGTGTAATGATTGTGATTACGAAACTAAATACAAGCATTGTATCAAAAAGCACCTACTGAAACATAAAGATCCTTCGCAGGTTGAAATGTACTGTTGTACTGACTGCGATTTCAGAACTAAATACAAGTTTCATATGAAAGACCATCAACTAAAACATAAAGATCCTTCGCAGGTTCAAATGTACGCGTGTAAGGACTGCGATTTCGAAACTAAATTCAAGAGGTATTTCAAACAGCACCAACTGAAGCATAAAAATCCATTGCTAGTAGAAACATACAAATGTAACGACTGCGATTACGAAACTAAGTACAGGAATAATATCAGACAGCACCTACTGAAACATAGAGATCCTTCTCAGGTCCAGACATACAAGTGTAACAACTGTCCCTTCGAAAGTAAATACAAGCATCATCTGCAGCGGCATCAACTGAAACAAATATGCTGCGCAGGTTCTAAATACGAATATGATATTAAAATGCACCAACTGAAACATAAAGATCTTTCTCAGGTCCAGACATACAAGTGTAACAACTGCCCCTTCGAAAGCAAATACAAGCATCATCTGAAGCGGCATCAATTGAAACAAATATGCTGCGCAGGTTCTAAATACGAATATGATATTAAAAAGCACCAACTGAAACATAAAGATGTTTCGCAGGTTCAAAGGTACAAGTGTAATGATTGCGATTACACAAATAAATACAGGTATTTGATCCAAAGGCACCAACTGAAACATAAAGATCTTTCTCAGGTCCAGACATACAAGTGTAGCAACTGCCCCTTCGAAAGTAAATACAAGCATCAGCTGAAGCGGCATCAACTGAAACAAATATGCCGCGCAGGTTCTAAATACGAATATGATATTAAAAAGCACCAACTGAAACATAAAGATCTTTCACAGGTTCAAATGTACAAGTGTAATGATTGTGATTACACAAATAAATACAGGTATTTGATCCAAAGGCACCAACTGAAACATAAAGATCTTTCTCAGGTCCAGACATACAAGTGTAACAACTGCCCCTACGAAAGTAAATACAAGCATCATCTGAAGGAGCATCAACTGAAACAAAGATGCTGCGCAGGTTCTAAAGGTACTAGTGTAATGACTGCGATTACGAATCCAAATACAGGAGTGGTATAAAATAACACGTGTTGAAGCATAGAAAGCCTTCACGAGTGCAAAGAAGTTTTTGAGGAGACATCAATTGGTGCACGAAAAATGTTGCGAGTCCTGCCCATCACAGTACCGTCAAGAATTGAAGCAAAATGTAAAGTCTATCTTGAAAAACGTAAACAAATTGTATTAATATACATACTTCGTAATATAAACCTGTTCTGTCCATGTTTAAAAATATATCCTATTTTATTGCCAATATTCAAGGTGAATCCTAATGGTGTATATCATACAATTTACTTTGTAGAATATACAAGGTGTTACAAATTCGCTTCTCACTAGGGATCTCGGAGACGGTAAGAGATACAAACTAGCTTAAATGGGGGCAACAGGGGACCAACACTATGGCTCTAAAAAATCAAGGCTAACATGATTAGGTTTTGAAAATTTTGCCCTCTATCGAATGGCATAATCAATTTGTATATGTAACGTTTCATCTCTCCAGGACCATCATCAACTTAATTTTTTTAAATACGACCCTAGAAATTTTATAACATTTTTTGCAAGCCTTCATAACCCCCAATAGTGTACTGCCTCAGCCCAAACCAGATTCAGACGTTTTGTCTCGAAAAATTCATTTTCAGTGTATTCGTTCCAAATTTATCTGAATTTTTTATTTAGATTTCTTTGTTTATTGAAATTCATCTAGTTATTTAAACTATTACCACCATGCGTTGCAATAAAACATTTATTATTATTAACTATTACCATCACTTGGTTATACATAACTCAATAAGTTGTTGCCTCAAAATTAAAACGTTACAATTTTAATTTTGTAATGACAAATTAATTCTAAAAAATGCATATGATCAACTAAAACACCAGGTGAATATTATTCTTTAAAAAATTACAAATTTCTTTACAACAGAAAGTAATTTGAGTCTCAAACTACGTCCATTTTATAGATAATCTGTGTTAAAATAGGAAAACGTCTGTTATTTGTACATTGATTCATATTTAAACAAACCGCGTAGCAAAATCTACAAAAACTTATTGCTGGTTGTCTATTCACTTAACTTAAACGCATTTCATATCAACTACTTTTTTTTTTTAAGTAAGCATTTGTTTGTTTTGTTTTATTTACTTTTTTAAAGAGATTTGTAAAGTTTGTGACAGGATTTAATCTGCTGAAATGAATGCTTATTAGACTCTATAGGCCAGTCAAATTGTCGAAAATACCTTTTTTTTTGCCAAAATATAGTTGAGTAAATAAAAACGCGTAAAAATTAGGAAAAATTCCTTCACCCCAGCTGAATGTTACGGCCTCATTTTCCAAATGGCGTCCAAAGTTTGTAAAAAACATTTTCATTTAAAAAAAAAGAAACATTTTAGAAAAAAATGTTGATATAAGTTGTAGGAAATCCAATACACACCCAATAATAACAAACTTTTACGTTACAACAAAACAAAAAGTGCAAGTGCCCAAAGTACATCTTAGACCACAAACAATTAGGGCGTAGACCATTATCCCAAACCTAAGCTAAATCTCATCCATGGAGGTAGAGCAAAAGTTTCCATGTTGTCTATCTCTGACGTCCCTTGTGGTAAGCGTTAAGGGGGAGACGTCTAAGGCCCAAACCCTCCATCCAAGCCAATATGAGGGTTTACCACCCTGTCAGCTGATTAGACCAATTAATATATTTGAAATTTTGTCAAAGCTGATTCGAAAAATGTTTAATACTTGCATTTTTCTATCTTACTTTTGCACCTGCCTTCCACCAATCGAATTTTTGAAAAAAAAACGGAATATATATATTAAATAATGTTTATTACAATATAATACAACAATGTTACATAAGGAGAGTGATATGTTATGTACAACTCGACTTAGACATACCTTTTATGATTGATTAAAAAATAATAATACAGTTTGGAAATATTTGGAATTACAACAAAACTGAATATTAAAATGGGAATCAGTGACTCACAATATTAAAAAGGATTAGAGGTTTCCAACTGTATACCGAGTGATTTTTTTAACCTGGAACTTTCAAATATCTGGAGAAATAAGCACTCTACAAAAAAAATGTCCATAATAAAAATTTAATCGTTCCACGGAGAGACAGGTGCTATAATTAGTTCCCCTCCCCCCTTCCTGTAGGAGGGTGAAGGGAGCTTTGAAATCTTAAGTAGGAACTCGTATATTTTATTACAGATTCGGATTCTACGGCTAAAAGTACGTAGGATTCGTCGGAGACATTTTTTTCTCGTAGAGTGCTAATTTTTAAGACATTTGAAAGTTGCAGGTATCGCCCAGTATAGCACACAGAGCGCTTGGAATATAAACTTTCTGTACTATAACGAGTAGAATTTAAACAAATTCGCAGACTTGGGATATAAAAGTGATGATTGTTTGATTAGTCATATTAAATCTATATAATATATAAAATTTAACACATCTCTTCGATAGGATAATAATACAATACGATGATATTTTATACTATAATAAACTTCAGCTCATAAAATATAATATGATTCAACAGCCGGATAAAAATATATCTGTAACATTTAATATAATAATACCTAATTGATTCTTGACAACCTCTGATGGGTCGGTAAAAAAGTATAACACAACGCTTTGTTGTCGCACGTTTGCAGATTCAACCAAAACTGAATTTCAGTAAGCCCAAAATTTGATTGGGCGATCAATATCGGGGCGTCTTACTACGATTCGTATTTTAGTTGACTTTGCTTCTATGCCCACAGATAACACCGCTACACAAAGTAAAAAAGTGGTCTATACCTTTGATTTGATCCAATAAGCTTTATGTATTTTGAGTAAATGACAAGAAAATGAAAAGTCGCCGAAAGTTGGGTTAGTGGGCGCCAAAAATTGTTTTCCGATCTTGATCGAGTGTGTTTCTCACTTTATTAATACGATTTTTTGCCCTTTTCTCATATTTTTTCCAAAATCTGTAGCTAATAGTCGTCAGCGTGTCAAAATACAAAAGAAACGCACTTGATCAAGATCAGAATTAAAATTTTACAATTTTTGGCGCCCAGTAACATGATTTTTGGCAATTGTTCGTTGTTTTCGGTGGTTTTTCGCTATTATTTTGCGATTTTTGCAAAATCGGCGGGGGTGCGGCCTAAAAGGCTTCAGATTTTTATTCAGCACATCAAAACACACTAGATCAAGTTGAAAACAATTTTTTTCGATTTTTTTTTGTCTATTGGGTCAAACCAAAGGTACAGACCACTTCTTTTTCCGTGTGCCGGCGTAATTTTCGGCTAAAAAGTTACACATAGTGTATCATATATATTTCTTTACATAATAAATATTATTATACATATATATACACAGACACACAAACTTAAAGGTTAGGGGGTAGTCGTAGCGGTGTGGGTCGGTAATAAAGGTCCCTTCCGAGACGTCTAGTTTAAAAACTCGTTCAAGGGGTGCGCTACAGTGAAAATGAACGTAGAAAAATATAATACTTCACCGGCTTTGAGGTTAGAATAAAAATAATGTCGGCAGCTCTTTCGTGTTGAAGGAAAAGTGAAACTGATATTTCTTATCGAGAATAAATTTTAACCATGGAAAAGTTTCACTTCAGTGTATGTGAGGTTATGTTCGACTGGTAAAGAATCTCTCCCTATGCGCGCAGTTGCCAACTGTATTTTTATTCCAGCCACATCCTAGGAGAGTCTTTTTCCTAATAAAAAATAATCTCTTAACCTAACCTAGCCAACTACGTACGTTGTTTTGTTTTTTTGGCACATTTTTAGTTTATTTTTAGAAAGTTCCTAGCTAGCTCACTCCCTTACTTTGTATCTAGATGAGGTAATCAAGTTTTTTTGTGGCGAATCGCTCGAAATGTCATATTAATTTTTGTGGATAAACAAAAGACACCTGCTTGGAATGGAGACGATTTAAGCTTAATCAGTTTAACGTAATTGTGCTTAAAATTAATCTCTAATTGCCCACCATAAGTCTTGGAACCGTCAAAGGATCTTCTCTACACTCGCCCAACTTCATCGGAAGAGTTAGATGAAGTATCTCCCGCTTATTTACTTGTTCTCTATCAGGAGTTGCAGTTGAAGTACCAGTTCGCGGGCCAGCTTGAGAATAGCGGCCGCGTCGTGATGTTCGGCCATTTCTGAACGAAAAAATTACGTTTTAAAATATAACATCCTTGACCTAAGGAAAAGCGGAGCGTGCGGCAACGTTGCAATCGCGTAAACAAATCATCGGTTCTCAAAATGTACCGCTCCGTTTTGTTTTCTCAGATTGTATCCCCACTTACCGTTGAAGAATTTGATGATGTCCGTGAAGTCCATGCCGTTGGACAGGATGATGTCCCTGTAGGTCTCCAGGAGGGCCAAGGCTAGGAATAGCACAAAGTGGCTGGAAGCCACCTGCTGCGCCGCCCAGATTACCTCCCAGGTGGCGTTGACGTCCGGGTAGACCAGTTCCCTTTTGAAATCGAGCAGAAACCACCTGAAAATTAAATATGGACAATGAAAACGTTTTGAGACCTTAAATCCTTAAAGTATATACAGGGTGTTCCACCTAAGAGATATTTTTCTGTAACTCTGCAACTGTAAAACTGATAAAAAAAACACTCTTTATGTTATAATAATATACAGGTTGTTCCTTATAGACCGAGCGAAATAACTTATTTAGAAGGAAAAAAAAAGAAAATTGTTACCTGGACATTTATAAGTGGAAATGGTAAAGGGGCTTATAATAAACGAAAAAAAAATAAATTCGTGAACAGGGGTGGCGGGGGGTTGATTCGGGGGGTTGAAAAGTTGTCAAGAATTGTATCAATGGGATTTATGGCGAAAGTTGACGTCAAACAAAAAAGTATCTAATACAAAAGTTGTAGATCATGCAAATATCTACAACTTTTGTAGAGGTCACTTTGTAAAATAACCTCAAAATTGCCGAGAAAAATGCGAAAACAGGTTTTTTCTGATTTTTCGTTTTTTATTTCTCATTACCGCAAAAATAATTTAATTTTGACGAAACTTGGTGAAAGTGTCTTAAATAACCACAATTTTTTTTAGATAAAAAGAAATCGAAGTTTCCGAGATATTAATTTTTTCCACTTAGGAAAATGATCATACAGAGTTCTGCCGGTGATAATTTTTTTCGTTTTGACATACTTTTTGGTGAAATAAAAAATCTGTAATGACAGTTCAAAAACATGCTCAAAAAATGCAAAAAAATAAAAAATGACGCAATAATGAATTTTTCAGTAATTGTTGATAATTTGTTTAAATTTAAAAAAAAATCAAGAACTGATTACACCATTCAATTGTACGGAAAAAATACAAAAAAAGTCTCATTGTTTGACTTTATTTTTGTAGCAATACTAATTAGAAATAATAAAACATTTCATAAATTTGTATTATTTTTTTATTAGATACAACTTTTTAAATTATTGTTGGATATTTTGTGCTGTATCGACTTCTATACTGTTATGACTTCCTCCAATAGACATTTTGAAAGCGTTCAGAGCCGCACTCAGGAAAAATTTTAAATTATAGCTAAAAACCTTTTATTACAATAGTAACATCATCTAAATCAGAATTAAAAATAACTTTAGATTTTGTCATAACTATAGCAGCGACGTATTTAAAAAAATTAACCTGATGATGGACCCTCGAAGGGGAAACGTCGGATTGCAAAAATGTTGACGCCATTGGATAGAGCTAAAAAAATGCAATTTATTTTAAAATTCGTTTTCAAATAAAGCCGGAAAAAAAATAAAACGATTTTCAAAATTTTGGGTTTTCGGGTTTCGCGTCAACAGTAGACTTTGCAGTTAGAGGTGTTTCAATATCTCATGAGCCGCGAAATGCACGAAAGGTGTGGCGTATCCGCATAATTCTTCTAATAAGCACGTTGTAAAAACATTGACTCAGAACTAGACCATGTGCATCATTACAAGTAGAAATGAACTAAGGCGCTCGGGCATCAATAAAGTCAACTGGCGAACGTTTGTTATATATTTTTTTATTGCTTAAATTAAAATAACAAAGAATAGGGCATTTTATTATCATATTTGTAATCGGATCAAAGGCTTGTTTACGTTAAGAGAGCTCGAGAGAGACTGTGCATAATAGGTGTAATGTTTTTAGGACGTAGAATAATTTAGGCGACGCGACGGTCGGAATTATGTTTCTGCGCATATGAAGGTCAAAGCTCATAAGATTTTAAAACACCTCTAATACTTTGTATCGCTGTAAACTCAAATCATCCGGAGATAATTTATCATTTGTGCATTTGTAATTCGACTTAGATGTTTGTAGCAATACTGTACAAAAATAAAGTTTTGGGTCAAACAATGAGACAGTTTTTTTTGTATTTTTTCCCTCGGAATTGAATGGTGTAATCAGTTTTTGAATTTTAATTTAAACAAATTATCGATTACTGAAAAATTCATTGTTGCAAGTCATGCAATAACAAAGGAACATAAATATTTCTCAGCAAACTTTATATCTAAAAAATTAGTTATAGTTGCAAAACTTTTGTAACATTACTAAAATAGAGATGAAAACCAGGAACAGTGAGTAATAATGTAATTTCTATCACAGAACTTTCAAAATTGCATCCAACATTTTCTTCGACTTGAACGAGAGATGGGCGCGAGTGTCATTTCATTTCTTTAGAATTAAATTAAAATAATTTTCGTTGTTTTACCAGTTCACATGATTTACAGATTTTAAATAAAGGATACAAATCTTCGCGAGGATAATACGATATAATTGCTATATATAATAATTATGTTGTACATATGTTACACACAATACATTTTTGAACGCGTACGCATCTTTACCCGAATTTGACGCGCAATATCTCCGACGTCCGAGGTCTGTCTGTAGGTTCGCAGTGTGTACAACTGCTAGTCATTTATTAGCGCTGTTGCCACATCTACATAGTCTTTATGCGTTCATTAAATATAATTTAAAACTACTTAAATATGATTTTTTATGTTGTTAATTAGTCAATATGTATGCTATGTGCATATGAGTAGATTTCTTTGCTATATAGATAATGTTTATCGCAAATAATTTCCATAGAATTTAATTTTTTCAAATTGGCGGCGGGCTTTAGTCCCATAAGAAGAGCATAGGACCCCCCCTTGCGCTTCTCACTTCCCTCTGACCCCGATATACCTCCTTAATAAGCTCCGCCTAATATTAACCTAGGAATCCAAAAAATTGAATAATATACAAGGTGTTCCATTTAAAATAACAACATTATGTAGCGCGCCCATGCGAAATAAAGCATCCCGTAAAATTAAAAATGTTTTCATTACATGATTCCCGGCAACTTTTATTAAAACCATTTTTTTATAAACTCGACAGTTGCAGAGTTACAGGAGAATCCCTCTTAGGTGGAACACCCCGTATAACCCCTCTATACTCGACGGTCGAAATTATAGAGAGTGACTAATCGCTAGCTTTTGGACTAGTAAGGGGGATGAAGCGTGCCGGGAACGAAAATCCATTGGCGTGTCTGCGTAAAAGGCTACGAGATATAGAAAATATTAAAAAAAGATAATAAAACATAACATCTAATATTTTTTACGGTTTGCTATAACCGGCACTTTAAAACGTCCCAGTTGTGTTTTTTTAATTTATAAATTTATTATAGCCATGGAATTAGACACCTCGTCTACGCTTATGCTTTGACGTTTCTCAGGACTCGTAAATCAAGTCCGTTTACACCCAACTAAAAAAGCATTTCTCTATTCCCTACCAAGTGCAAAAGACAGAGATAGAATATAGATCGACGTTCAGTGTAACTCAGTCTATAGACGATTATAGATTCTATCGATGTGCGTAGCGAGCGGCACAAAGATAAATAATATTGAACCGTATAAAAATCATTTTATATTTTATACGCATTATAGTAATAGTGTTTTTATATTATGTCTTATTCACTCTTTATAATTTCGACCACGGAGTATAGGTTCAAACGAATTTGTACCCGTGTTATGCGCAGAAGACGATATGTCAAAATGAACTCTCGGACGCGACACCAACGCTCTCACTGACCTGTAGCAGAAGTAGAAGTGGGTGTAGTCGCCGTGGGCGTGCATCAGCTCGTACATTTCGGAGTCGAGGATCTGTATGAGGGAGCGCATGTTGGCGAAGTGGCAGTCCATGGCGGTGCCGTTGGGGAAGTTCTCCACCATGCGCTCCATGAGGTGGCAGAAGCACGCGTACGTGAGCGACTCGTCGTTGAAGATGACGAGGAGGGGCGCGACGAGGTCGCACATGCCCTGCATGTAGCCTATGTCGAGGTGCTCCCAGACGTACCTGGAAAAGTGCGAGGTACAGGAAAAGATCCGTCGGGAAGAATTGTGGGACTTACAACTTGTGTTCTACTTCTACATAATACCAACGGGGATACTTACGTACACATCACGTTCCTCAACTTATCCAGATTCTCCTTCTCCATGAAGAACCAGTAGTTCCTGTCGCACCTCTGCACGTCCTTTTCTATCCTGTGCAGGTTCAGCCCGAAGGTCTCCAGCAGTTCTTGCTGAAATATAAAAAAACCTTACGTATCCTTTCCGGATATGCGTGTTGAAAAAACTTACGCTGTATATGCCTCCGTTAGAGCTAGCTGGGGACACGCAAGCCGATCTAGCGGGCGATGCCAGTCCGTGGGTCTCTATGCAGGTGTCCAGGGAAGAGTTGTTCTCTTCCGTGACCGCGTCCAGGTTCGTTATCCTGAGACTTTCGTTGCCTGAAAACGATACTTTTGCGTTAAATGGTTTGGGTGTCGATATGTTAAGATTCTGTCCCATAATATAGGGTATTAGAAGTTTGACTACTTTAAGGAGGTTTATCGGGTACGGAGGTACGTCTAAAGTCTGACGAAAGTTTCTGTAGATTCGCTAGTGACTAAAGTAGTAAGCCTTTAGATTTGGCAATGTTGCACTTGGCTGGCGCGTTCGCTCGCTCCCGTTCGATCATTCTGTTTGTTTGGACATCTGCGAGTTTCAAATAATATGCTACGTCGAGACCGCGGCGTTGCCGCTATCACGCACATGGAGGATAAGTTAGTCAACAACAGCAGTTTGAAGTAGAATTGTTATAAATTATGTATCTTACAAGTACCTAATCGATTTCTACGAACTGTCATACGGTTCCGCTTAGATATCGGTTTCCTATTTATACAAGTTGCTGTGGAAACTGGTCGTCAATTGTTGCGCATTCTAAGTGGAAATACCAAAAAATCTACATTGTTATAAGACTCTGTACTATATCGTGAAAAATTATTTTATTAATATCTTGTCTCTTAGATAGGTATCCAAACTAGTCAAAATTTTTTTTGAGGATTTTCTTCATATTAATATTAATTTTTTTATGAATATTTGTTCGTTCCAAATCAGATAAACCTATTTAATTTTAACAGACGACAGAATACCCGAAAAAAAATTATCAAAACCTCAAACTTGATGTACAAGAGTTCGATTAATTAAGGAATATTGACATAACTGCTTGCATAGAATACCATAAAATAGTGGAGTCAAGATAGCTTAAAATTACGCATTATTTCGAAATAATTATGGGAAGCATGGATTTTCCTAAAACCTTTTGAAATTACTTGGCGATAAGTATTAGAAGAAAGTTATAGATTTATTTTTGTACGCTAATTGTTTTTTAATTGTTTAAACAATAATAAATATATTTTTTTAAGATTTAAAATAATTCAATGAATTTTAAATCGAATTCTTTCAAATTGACAATATAGGGGTTTTCGATGTCGCTGCACAAGAATATGAAGTCGGAAAATGAAAATTCAAAATGGCTGATCCAATATGGCCGACTATTAAACAATTTATTTAACAATTATCGATTTTAAATCAAACTCGCTCATATTTGTAATATAGGGGTTTTTGACGTCGCTACAAAAGAATATGTCAAAAAATGAAAATTCAAAATGGCTGATCCAATATGGCCGACTATTTTAAACAATTTATTTAACAATTATCGATTTTAAATCAAACTCGCTTATATTTGTAATATAGGGGTTTTTGACGTCGCTACAAAAGAATATGTCAAAAAATGAAAATTCAAAATGGCTGATCCAATATGGCCGACTATTTTAAACAATTTATTTAACAATTATCGATTTTAAATCAAACTCTCGCATATTTGTAATATAGAGGTTCGAAAAATGAACATTATAAATGGCTAAAGAGATTTTATTGAAAATATGTTTTATTTTTTAAAAAACAAATTTATTACAAAATAATTAATTTTTAAATCTCATCGAGTTCTTGCTCTTCTTCAAAAATAACTGGGCAATTAAACTTTAAGCCAATAAAATTGAAAAAAAAACACTGATTTGAAAGACTAAATTACAAAATCAAAATCAACGTCTATTATTTATTTATTCATTAATTATTTTAAATGGATCCATATTCATATATAAATATTAATCTCATACATTTACAGGTTCAGCATAAAAGAAAACGAATATAAATACCTTAAATGTAAACTGAAGATCATTTGTAATATTAAGTAATAATATTACATTAAAGAATTGCAAGTGTACGAGAGTATAACGTGAAAATGGACAAAATATGTGAATAATACACTTTTTAATACACTGATAACTGCAGCTTACTCGAAAATATAAAAATGATATTCTTATACCATTTATAATAATAATTATTTAATTCTTATAAACGAAAAACGTTTTTAAAATAAATAAAACTGTAACAAAAAAATATTTGGTGTGCACACTGCTTAACTTCGTCAACCAAACTGACAAGAAAAACAACTTTCAAAATTCCCCTTCGCAAGTAAGGCTATTGTATATATTTCTATGAAGTAGTATACACCATGTGCGTGCTATACTCATCGAGCAGGTTTCGAACTTATATTCACAATTTCAGTTACAGAATATACTTTTTAAAAATGAATATTAAATCAATTCATCAAAAAAACATTATTTTTTGCTGTTGTAACAATTTTCTACTTATTACTATAAATAAAAAAAATATTTTTCGCTGGATTTACTTTTTTTAAGGTCTTAACTTAATTCTTTGATGGTTTTTTAAACAAAAAAAAAATTTTATACATTATTAAACTTTATTTAATAATAAATTTCACGGATTTTTCATGAATTTTTTTAATTTTTTGTTTTTTCAACTATTATTTCAATTTTTTAAGAAAAATAAAATGCACCATCTTAAAGTGGAGATTTTAAGCTTTAAAAAGTGCTCTCATAAAGTTTCAATATCACATTTACAACTATAGTTTTTGAGCTATAAAGTATGGCCTAAAAAGTGAAATTTGTGATTTTTTAAAATTATTGAATATGTTGGGCTCAATATTTTTCAAATTAAATTTTTAAGATTTTTTCCGTATCGCTCACTGTTTCAATCGTCATTTGAAGAGTAATCTGCGAAAGTTACAGATATTTATTTTAAAAATTAAAAGAATGACAGCTATTTTATTATTATTGTACAAAATTATAGAATGACAACTTTGTACGTATGTACTATATATACTTTTTTTCTCAAGTTTAAAGATATAAAATTTTGATAGCCGGATGACTCTTCTTTCATTTAAATTTTTGTGAGGTCGATTTGAACAATTAGATCAAAAGTTATAACAAATTTAGTGTAGCGCGCTCGGGGCCGCGCGCTCTTCGAGAGCTGTACTTGGGGGCAGCCCGTCTCATTTTTCGTACGTTAGAAAAAAAATTCTACAGCCTTCAATTCGCATTTTAGAAAAAAACTTTATTACCATTTTTTATGTAAAATTTCCTGTTCTTTCGAATGGCGCAGTTATTTTTTTTTAAATTATATTTTTTTTATATATTTTCCAAAAACTGTAATTATGCAACTATGTAATTTGTTAAATAAATAATTTAGCGTACACTCTACAGTTGGTAACTTTTTATATGTTGTTTATTAATTACTGAATTTTGCTTTTTGGTAAGTACCTAAATTATTTTTAATACGTATGATTATTTGGTTTACGTGAATCTTTGGGTACTTTAATTACATATTTTTCAAATTCCTAATTTGATTAAAAGTTAAATTTCTATTTTAACAGATTCATATTTACTAAAATTCGGGCTAAAATTTAAGCACAACACCATCTTCATACTACAAAATCGATTTTATTTTATTTATAAAAAAAACTGGAACACAATTGTCTTGAAATTTACTAAATGTTTCACAATAATAGTTGTTTACATTTTTTCCGTAGGACAAGTCTGTCTCGTGCACACGTGGTGCGCACCAGCTGTGTAGCGTTAGGTTAAGCGCTGTTGTCACATTGTGATGAAACTCCCCAATATTAACATTCGCTATATTTTGAGAACTGTTAATCTTACTCCCCTGATATATCCAACTTTTTTGTTCATTTATGATTACTCTATCTCATGCTGAAACAATGCCAGTCAAACTACTTACACCCTGTATACAGATTGTAATAGCGACGTAGCGATCGACAAACTGCCAGTACTGACTTCTTTGGTGAGATTAAATGATTTTTAAGGGCTCTAGAACCCTTCAAGGATTCAAAGTGAAACAATTTTTAGTCAGTTACTCAAAAATCATTACAGATATAAACTTCAAACATGGCACAGTGTAGTTCTATCAGTAAATTGGTAGCGCTAAATGTAATTAAATGAAGTTGTGACATGTTCGTCCATTTTCATCATATCACATCAGACGGATTATAAAATGCGTGGTCAGAGGTCGTTTACGAGATCCATAAACTAAACAGAGTGCTTCCAAAAAATAGTAACAAGTCCAGGCGGTAGAGCAGTAAAAGTAGGCCTTGGCGTTTGTGTTTGAAGTCATCTATTTTGTTGCACAGAAAAATCCCAAATATTATGTAAAATAAGAATTCGAGTTTGCCTATTCCAAAAAACCAATGCTAAATCCAGGGGAACAACAAACATACATAAAGAACGAAAGATGACCCGTTTTTCGACATATTTTTCCGGGGAAAAGAGAAAAATATGTCGAAAAACGTTCTTTGAGACTAGAAAGTAAGTAGATTGAGATACTTGCTTGCAAATATTGGATAAAATTGAGTTTAAGATACTTAAAAATTATATATTTTCGTTCCTCAATTATTATTTCTTACCCAATGTGCATAAATAAATGCCAAAAGCTGGAACAGAAACTTGGCAACAGCGCATGAGTATGCTCGGTTTATTATTTGTAAGTTGGGAGTCCTTGTCATTGTATATAGGTATACAATACATTACGCTATGTGACCGCTCGCACAGCTGATACAATTCGATAAGTATCCTCCCTAAGTCTAGTAAGTCATTTTTCCAAATTACGTTTATTTACGGAGACATATTATTATATTTTTTAAACAAGTACATTTTGTGAACCGCTGTTCACATGGAAGGTAATCATTTACCCATGCGCACTGCTCAATTACGACTTTGCCAGGTCATGTGTCAAGAAAATTATTTAGATTAAGGCCTCGATCTTAATTTTTTGCAATTTATCGCACTTTGACGGACTATAGTTTAAAAAAGGATCAGTTCTGAAAGCTTCGTAACTTATATTACTTGAAACACACTGACCAAATAGTCACCTTGTCTGATTTTACGAGTACTAGATAAGATTTCTCACCTAGACCGCTCATATCTACGCTGGCGTTGGTGACTATGACGTTGTGAATGAAGTCTTTTAGTTCTACGTGGGGATCTAGGTGTATGTCGTCTTCGTCTTTGCGATCGACGGCTTCTTCGCCGCTGATCAGTAGTTTGCTGGCCACCTCGTCAATGTCTAGTTTGCAAGCATTCCCTAATTTACCTAAAATAATTATATTCCTATTACCGTAAAATGTTAACTTTGTGCACGCAAACATTAACTTTTATGCGAAATATGCTGGTGGTGCTAGAAAAAATATCTGCCCAGCCAAAATTCCATCGTATTTTAAGGCAAATACTGGTCCATAATTTGAGCTGTGAAATTTATATACAGGGTGGTAGAAGTTTGACTGCCTTAATTTTAATAGACGATAGAATACATTAAAATAAACAAAAAAAAACCTCATATGGCATGGGTCCTAAACTCGACCATTTCCGAGAAAAAAATTATCGAAATCTTCAACTTAACGTATAAAAGTTCGATTAATTAAGGAATATTGACATAACTACGTACATAGTTTACCATAAAATACAATCTTTATCACTTTTTTTAACTTTTTTTATGCTTAAGGAGGTATATCGGGTTTACTCAAATACACAGATGTACTTGACTTGAATTTATATAGTGTATTACCCAGTGCTCACTCTGGGCGTCATATTTTTTTTAATCTAGATTTTGAGATATTGTTGTTGAAAGTTGTTCATTTTAACATAGGTGCGGCTTTTTTGCCCATAACTGAGAAAAAAATGTAGAAATTGTGACCATAGATAGTACACAGTATTATCTTATTTTTGACGGAAAACTAATGTAAGTTTTGAACATAGTACAGCTGTATTAATTAGAATCAGAAACCAATAATTGCATTTCTGTCTGACTTGATGATTAATGTGGCAACGTCGCAATCAGCTGACAGCAAGGAGGGAATACATTTGAAAGACTTGATAAAAACGAAATTGATTTCAAGCATATACATTTTTCCCAAATCCCATGTACATACATTGTTATCAACAATATACATATAATCAACAGATTATTTTTCGTAATGTTTTTAAAAAACTAAATTAATTAAAAAATACTAGGAAGCTGTGATATATTTATTGGAATAAAAAATACAGGTGATAAATCCTTTTAATATATTTAATGGTTTATAAAAACATCGTAATCATTACCCAACAATATTTAGGGTTACATAAAGTTTTCTTTACTTGATTAATATAATTAGTAACACTTGAGATAAAAGCATTTGTACGGAATAACAAAGGAACATAAATATTCCTCAGCAAACTTTATATCTAAAAAGTTACTTATAGTTGCACAAAACTTTTGTAACACTACTAAAATAGAGATTAAAAGCACGAACAGTGACTAATAATGTAATTTCTATCACAGAACCTTCAAAATTGCATCCAACATTTTCTTCGACTTGGACGAGAGATGGGCGTGAGTGTCATTTCATTTCTTTAGAACTAAATTAACATAATTCTCGTTGTTTTACCAGTTCACATGATTTACGGATTTTAAATAAAGGATACAAATCTTCGCGAGGATAATACGATATATTTGCTATATATAATAATTATATTGTACATAGTTTACACATAATACATTTTTGAACGCGTACGTATCTTTATCCGAATTTGACGCGCAATATCTCCGATGTCCGAGGTCTGTAGGTTCGCAGTGTGTACAACTGCTAGTCAATTATTAGCGCTGTTGCCACATCTACATAGTCTTTATGCGTTCATTAAGTATAATTTAAAAATACTTAAATATGATATTTTTATGTTGTTAATTAGTCAATATGTATGCTATGTGCATATGAGTAGATTTCTTTGCTATATAGATAATGTTTATCGCAAATAATTTCCATAGAATTTAATTTTTTAAGTTGACAGCGGGTTTTAGTCCCATAAGAAAAGCATAGGACCCCCCTTGCACTCCTTACTTCCCTCAGACCCCGATATACCTCCTTAATTCTAAAAAATAATTAGTGTTGTAACAAATTTAAAATTCCATAAAATTCATATCAAGCAATGCGACAACGGCGTGGCGGATAACACGAAGTACTAAGCTGCCCACTAATAAGCAATTCAGTTGGTATCTGGAATTCGACTGTGTCTGAATGTTTTTTGCGTACCACTATTTCCTTTTCTTGAGGTGTTTTCCAGCGAGTGCGCGTAAATTGGATTCGAAGGTGTCGCGCGTGCACCGAAAATGGTGGTGGACATTTTGAGCATATGTTGTAGTTTGCTTTGTACTTGTTGCTTTTAAAAATTACTGAATTTTGCTTTTTGGTAAGTACCTAAATTTTTTTTTTTATACGTATAATTATTTGGACGACTTGAATCTTTGGGTACCTTAATTGCATATTTTTCAAATTCATAATATGATTAAAAGTTAAGTTCCTGTTTAATTATTATTAAAATTTGAGCTAAAATTTAAGCACAACACTACAAAATCGATATATTTTATTTTATTTATTTAAAAACTGGAAAACAATTGTCTTGAAATTTACTAAATGTTTCACAATTATAGCTGTTTACATTTTTTCCGTAGAACAAGTCTGCCGCGTGTACACGTGGTGTGCATCAGCAGGTTAAGCGCTGTTGTCACGTTGTGATGAAACTCCCCAATTTTAATACTAGCTGTATTTTGAAAATTGTTAATCTTACCCCCCTGTAATATACAACTTTTTTGTTCGTTTATCATTACTCTGTCTCATTCTGAAGTAATGGCAGTCAAACTTCTTATATCCCGTATTTTTTCGAAATACGTTAAAAAATAGCAACACTGGCTCGAATTTGTCTTAAAAATGTAACGGTTTCAAAATAACAGTTCCAAGTAACGGTTTCAAACGAATGGTTCCGAGGTAACCGCTACAAAGTAACGGTTCCCAGTGACGGTTCTAAGTAATGGATCCATAATAATGTAACATTTACAGAGTAACGGGTACATAGTATCAGTAATAAAGCAGTAGTTAAGTAGCGTTTATAAAGTGGCATTAATCTGGCAATTACTTTCATTAGTAGCAGTTATTTAGTAGCAACTGCTTGATTACAGTGACTAAGTAACAGTTGCAAAGGAACGGTTACAAAGTAGCAATTAAAAAGATAAAAAAAGTTATTACAAGTTAGTTACTTGGTAGTAGTCGTAAAAGAGAGCAAATGGGAGGAAAAATAATGTGAATTCAATTAAGTCGTGAAAAATTTATATTGTTAATTCTTTTTTAACTACACCAAGTTAGATTATAAAATTGTTGACTGCTTAGACGGTAAATTTCTCAAATAATTGGATGCTGACCCCAACTTTTCATTTCTTCAGAAATTTTACTCAGATTAAAAAAAAACGCCAAAAGCTCCGATATCGAACATTTGATTAGCATTTTACGCACGATATACAGGGTGTCCGGTAAGTACCTCCTAATCTCTCGGGAGTGTATAGGTCAAAATAAAATCAAAATAAAACTAGTCCTTCCTATAATTTTTTTTCCTAATGTGCCCCCTAACGGAGTTATGGGGTGTCAAAGGGGTACCTAGAAATTAACGTTTAGGGTTATAACTTTGAAACCACCCTGTATATTTTAATAAAATTTTCGTACGTTGTATTACACATGGAGCTCTACGATTTGATGCTAAAATCAACTTTTTGCTATTATCAGGTGTCCAGAAACGGACTGGCCCTATCACAATTTTTCTCAAAATTTTGACAGAAGTAATTTTATCAAACTGAAAATATTATTATTAGATACTCTGAAGGTTTTTCTTTAAAAATGGTACTCTTTATTTATTTCGAAAAAATGAACGGTTTGCGAGATAAATCGGTTTTGAAAAAAATTGGTAACAAATACAACAACAATTAAAATTTATTTTTTTTACATATTATTTCATGCATTTAATTTCTTTAACTTTATCAAGTCCAGAAATCTTTGAACGGGTTGGCTATACTTTATGAGCAAGTAGTGACCAATTAAAAATAACATTTGAAAAATAACTTACTTACAAGACATGCAACAAAGAACATTCAACAATGAACAAAGGTACCTAAATGTTACTTCGGTAGATGTTCAAAATGAGCACCCCGTACTTCAATGCACTTTCTAATCCTACGAATGTTTTCCCGGTGCACTTGAAATAATATTCCGTGATTATTGCGGAGATGGTCACAGTTCTGTGTTAGCCTCAGCAGAAGTTCCTCTCTACTATTTACGGGTGTTGAATAAACGTTATTTTTTAAATGACCCCACAGAAAAAAGTCTAATGGGTTTAGGTCGGGCGACCTAGGTGGCCATAATACAGGTCCGCCTCGACCTATCCATCGATCACCAAAAACATTCGTCAGATGTTGACGTACTAAACGATCAAAGTGGGGTGGTGCACCGTCATGCATGTACCACATTTCAGTTCTTATTTGAAGGGGCACTTCTTCTAACAAAATATTTAGATTTTCCTCTAAAAATTGCAAATAAAGAGCACCATTAAGTCTTTGCTCCAGAATAAATGGACCAATCAAATGATTCCCGATAATGCCAGCCCACACATTCACCATAAACCTTTGTTGGTAGCGAGTTTGAACTAAAGCGTGAGGGTTTTCTTCATCCCAGACATGTAGATTATGCGAATTAATTATGCCGTCTCTTGTAAAACCTGCTTCATCGGTGAACAAAATAGATGTACCAAAATTATGATTCCGAATATGATGCTGTAAAAACCAATTGGCGTATTGAAGTCTTTTTGGATAATCATCTGGAGACATAGCATGTACTTTTTGGATGTGGTACGGGTAAAGCAATTGTTCTTTCAGAGTTTCATGTACAGCCCATTTTGTAACATTGTTTTGCGCCGCAAGCTTCCTTATGCTATTTGAAGGATTATTAGCAACGTCTTCCAATATTTGTTCCTCTACATGAGGGTCTCGTACTCTCCTCGGGGCTCCTGCTCCACCACGGCGTGGCAAAAAGCTTCCTAAATAAAGGATTCGGAAGAAATTAGTTTCACTAACGTTTTTCACTATTTTTTTTTACCTGTTTCTCTTAAACTACGATCAACTCTTTCAAAAGTTTTTGGACTCGGCAAATGTCGACCCGGAAACCTTTCCTCATAAAGTCTTCTTGCCTCCACGGAGTTGCATAATGCTTCCCCATAAATTAGGTGCATATCAGCATATTCTGCACAGGAATATTCTTCCATTTTTAAATGTTATTTCTAACGGCTTAAAACGAATACCACAATAAAATTGAATTTTTATTCTGTCACGCGCCTTTGACAAGTACTTTAAAATCAACAGGGTCTAACAACGAAAACAATAGAAAAGAACTCCATGGAGACAAGAGCAATAATAATTTGTAGATGTATTTTGGTCATAGATGTTGATTTTACAAGAAACGGCATTATTCATTCCCTTAATTCACCACCAGTAAATGTTTATGGTGAATCTGTAGGCTGGCACTAGCGGGAATGATTTTATTGTAAAAAAATAAATTTTAATTGTTGTTGTATTTGTTACCAATTTTTTTCAAAACCGATTTATCTCGCAAACCGTTCATTTTTTCGAAATAAATAAAGAGTACCATTTTTAAAGAAAAACCTTCAGAGTATCTAATAATAATATTTTCAGTTTGATAAAATTACTTCTGTCAAAATTTTGAGAAAAATTGTGATAGGGCCAGTCCGTTTCTGGACACCTGATAATAGCAAAAAGTTGATTTTAGCATCAAATCGTAGAGCTCCATGTGTAATACAACGTACGAAAATTTTATTAAAATATACAGGGTGGTTTCAAAGTTATAACCCTAAACGTTAATTTCTAGGTATCCCTTTGACCCCCCCATAACTCCGTTAGGGGCACATTAGGAAAAAAAATTATAGGAAGGACTAGTTTTATTTTGACCTCCCCTATACACTCCCGAGAGATTAGGAGGTACTTACCGGACACCCTGTATATTGCAACAGTACATTATATGGCAACAACGGCTGTAGGAACGACGCTGAAAAGAAAACAATCGTCTTACCTACATTAGTATCACTCGTCTCGCTACTATGTCTACTATTTCTACAGGATAAGGCTTCTTCGTTTTGTACGTTTTCAGGTTTCGCGCCGACCACAGCGCCCCCTACCCCTCTCCCCTCGCCGTCCTCGTCGCTCTCGTACTTGATCGTGTTCTGTTTTGTGCGTTTGGGCCTCGGTCCTCGCTGCTCCGCCTTGTCGTCTTCCAGGGATTCGTCTCCCTCGTCGTCTGTCACGCCGTCGTCCTCGAAAACCTACGGTGCAATAAAAGGGAAAAGTTCAAATTAATGGCAATCTATCGAGTTTTCAATAACGAAATAGAATTAAAACGAACAAAGAGTAATTTTTGAATACAGATTTGATAATCCTTGTAAATTATACCTCGTTGCTCAATTCCCTCTGGATCTGGGGGGGTAGTTGGTCGCCGGACATGCTTTCGCTGCTCAATTTTGCGATGGCGTGCGCTTGGTTTTCCTTATCGCGTTGTCTAACTATCGCCTCCACGGCCAGCCACTCAGACATTGTGTTCTCGTAGCTGGAAAAAAAGATGTAATGCTACGGACAGTAAATGTACAGGTAAATATAGGGAGTTAATGATAAGTTTTGCCAAACTTTAATGGTGTATTCTACCGATGAAAATGATCAACTTTTGCCCTATAAAAATTTTTGATAATCCGTTTCCCTGCGGAAATACAGGGTGTTAAATGTTTCAAATATTTATATGATTTTTCATGTACCTTCACTGGCATAAAAGATTGAGCGATACAATTTGGGGGAAGACATTTTTTTAGTAGGGACTATTTTTTCATGGATAACTTAATTCAATATTTTGGCAAAACTTATCATTAACACCCTATACCGGTCTGGCCAGGTAATTCTTTCGCATAGACCAAGTAAATTACACGCATCTCCCCTATCAAGTTCGGGTGGAAGGGGTCGGACATGACATATATCATCGAGGCTGCGACTCGGACTCTCGTAATTGGTTGACTGTGGGAGCGCACGTGCCCCGTTGCATTTTTTATTAACCCACCGAATACCTAAAGCGCTTTGCTGTTTGTTTAGTTTTATTTAGTCAGTATTTAAATCGATGTGTCGATCTGCCCGGGTTTCGAATCCCGCGGTCGGTAGACCGTATATTAGCTATGCTTGTACGGAGGATTGGTACCCTCTGTGCAGGTATGGTAGGGTGGAAGAATGTTGGCTTGGGTCAATGTGAGAGATTGACACCGGTTGGCATTTGACCACCCCACTAATTAATGAGGTTTTCCAGGTTTCCCTCATTCCTGCACTGAATGGTGGTTAGGGCCTACCAACATAAGTCGTTCCTGGGCGCAAATGCGGCCTGCGTAATAATAATATGCCGCCTCCTCTCCCGCACAAGTCTCCGACTTCTGGGCTAATTCTCGTAGTTAGAATGAGGAGTAGAGATATTATTATTAT